TGATGTCATCTGCAAAGACTGAAATTGTATTTTTAATCCAGACCCTATATTGTTTTATAAATATATTAAAAAGTAAGGATCCCAACACTAAACCTTAGGGTACACCACTGACAACCCTAGGACCATTCAGAGTATGAATTCATTAACCACTACTCTTTGAATACGATCTTTTAGCCAGGTTTTTTATCCATTTACATTACGGATCTTACCAAGCCCATAGACTTTACCTACACTATTAGCCGGGTGTGTGTGAAACTGTGTCAATACGCTTTTGCAAAATCCAAGTAGTCCACGTCCACCGCCACCCCTCCTGTCCAAGGTTTTGCTCACCTCTTCTTAAAATGAAACTGGATTTGTTTGACAACTTCTGTCTTTCGATGAATCCATGCTGTCTGTTGCTTAAAATTTTTTTTCCAACAAGAACTCATCTATGTGGTCTTTTAGTTAAACTCTCCAGTATCTTCCCAAACTATAGAAGTTAAACTAACAGGTCTATAATTACTTGTAAAAAATGGTGACCTCTTTTTAAATATTGGCACCACATTGGCCCTTATGCCAATTCAGTGGTACTATGCCAGTCATTAACTGTCTCCCGCCCGCTATATAAGGTAATGATGGGAGCAAGGCGGTTCTCTTGTTCTGGGAGTACATCATGTGACGTCCTTCCACTCTAACTGCGTGTGCGCGCCCCCGGGGCGATCGGTGGTGCGCTGGGACACTGTGGATCACCGATGAACGGAAAGAGCTGAAGACGTCGGCTCTGTCATGTGATCAGCTGTGTCCAATCACAGCTGATCGCATGTAAATAAGGAAATTATTGCATTCCTCTTCTCACGAGCTGTCACGCTGATGATCAGTGTGCCCTGATGATCAGTGTAGCCCCATCAGTGCCACCTGTCAGTGTCCATCAATGCCACCTGTCAGTGCCCATCAATGCCACCTGTCAGTGTCCATCAATGCCACATATGAGTGCCTACCAGTGCACATCAATGTTTTATCAGTGCCCATCTGAGCTGTCTATCAGTGCCAGTCAGTGCTGCCTAACAGTGCCAGTCAGTGCCACCTAACAGGGCCAGTCAGTACCACCTATCAGTGCCATCAGTGCCACCTATCAGTGCCATATATGAGTGCTGCCTTTCAGTGCCCATCAGTGATATCTGTCACTGCCCATCAGTGCCACCTACCAGTGCCTCCTCATCAGTGCCGCCTATCAGTGCCCACCAGTGAAGCCTATCAGTGCCCATCACTGCAGCCTCATTAGTGCACATCAGTGAAGGAGAAAAATCACTTATTTACAAAATTTAATAACAGAAACTAAGCATAAACTTTTTTTTTTCAAAATTCCCTGTTGTTTTTGGTTTGTTTAGCAAAAAATAAAAAACCCAGAGGTGATTAAATACCACCAAAAGAAAGCTCTATCTGTCCTCAAAAAAATGATAAAAATGTTATGAGTACAGTGTTGCTTGACCGTGCAATTGTCATAACAAAGTGCGACAGCACTAAAAAACTGAAAATTGGCCTGGACAGGAAGGGCGTATAAGTGCCCTGTAGGCAAGTGGTTAAAGAGTCCCTAAAAATTAGAAACAATGGCTTTGAAATGACAGAGCTCAATTCTTTAAGGACCCGTGGGTGTATGTCATCCGGTCCAGGTGCTTTATTCACCTTTATACTGTCTAAATATTTTTGGATCATATCAATTGTGAGTCAGTGTGGATCAGTTGGAGCTGTGTCAATACCATGCCCATTATGGATAAGAGTCCTTTGTATACACAGAGCTGAAGAAGGTATTAATTAAATGTGCCTTCTCTTTGACCCCAGTCACCCACTCTAGATTATTTTTTAAAGGGGGCTGCATGCTCGAAACCCATGCAAGTAATAAATCTGGAGTAACGTCAGGGACTAAAGCTGTGCGGAGCTCCACTGACACACACACTGTGCCGTTTAGACATGGTTGGCTCACTGTGTCTACTGCACTCCAGCTCTAGTAAGGAATTGAATGGGAGTGTGAGCACAGGGGGTTGTACAAGGTGTATGTGACTGTCGACACTGGGGCAACAAATAAGTTCTGCAAAATACTCACGTGCCTCTTAGCAAATACCTTGGAGTGCCTACTTTCCAAAAAAGGGTCATGGGGGGTGGGTTGTGCTATTTTTGCATTTCAGGGCCTCTGAAACTGTGAAAGGTATTTAGGGAGTGCAATGAGGAAATAAAGCCCTTTAAAAGGTGCTTTATAGATTTGGGGTCCTGTACTTGGCTAGACAGCCAAAAAAAGTACCTCACATGTGGTACCACCATACGAGAGAAGTAGCAGAATATGTTTTTTGTGTGTAATTCCACATGTATCCATGGTATGTGTGAGCAATATATCATTTAAGTGACAACTTTGTGTAAAAATGTTTCTTGTGTCCTTTTCAAAAACTTGCAGGAAGAAAAACATTCTTCTATTGACTCAACATGCCTCTCAGCAAATAGTTTGGGGTGTCAACATTCCAAAAAGGTGTCATTTGGGTGGGTCTTGTGCTATTCTGGCATTTTATGCCCAACATTAGCACACATCAACTACTCTTCCAACCACTTGAAGACAAAGGTTTTCTAATAATCTTGGGTCACATGAAAAAAATCATTATTTTTTGCTAGAAAAATATTAACCCCCAAACAGTATATATTTTTAATGCACAAAAACACAATGCAGAAAAACACAATGTACTGGCCAACTGGTGAAATGTAAAAGATGATGTTTATGCCGAGTAAATAGATACCAAACATCACATGCTTTAAAACAATGGCGACAAACTACATACATTTATAATATTCATAGGCGACGCTTTAAAAAGCCTTTACAGGCTACCACTTTAGATTTACAGAGGAGGTCTAGTGCTAGAATTACTGCCCTCAATCTGACATTCATGGCAATACCTCACATGCATGGTGCAACCGCTGTTTACATATTGACACAGGGTCAAAACTTACGTACACCTTTGCAAGTGAGCACAGGGGAACAAGGGTGCTTTAATTTTTTTTTTTAAGTATTTATTTTGCTGTTTTTTATTTTTACACTGTCCATTTTACTTATTTATTTGTATTTTTTGATCCCTTTTTTTTATTATCAATGGGAATGTAAATATCCCCTATGAAAGCAATAGGCAGTGATAGGTACTTTATTTGAGAAATATGGGGTCTGTTAGACTGTAGATTTCTCTTCTGTCCTTAAAGCATCTGATCATACCATGATTAATGTGATCAGATGCTTTCCTATTTTAAAAATGGCGCTGTTTATATTCGACAAAACCGAAGTGATAAAATGATCTGATCTTCTGGTTTCTTAGACCATAGAGTTGACTGGAGCTGTTTCCATCTCTGATCAGCCCTAAGGTTAGCAGGCAGAACCACCAGCTGTATTCTTGGGTTCCCTGGTGGGACAGGATAACCCAAGAAAGCCATGGAAGGTGGAGAGGAGGGGCATCCCCTCTCACTACTTGTAAAAGCAAGCCAGTGGCTAATTAGCTGCTCGGATTGCTTTTACATGAAAGCCGACCGTTGTCTGAAAAAAACAATACCAGAATGATGCCTGTAGCTGTTCTTTTTTTTCATGCAACCTGTGGGCTGAACAAAAAACAGAGAGCCTAATAGATTTCTCCATTCACATCGATCGATGTGGATAAAGAAGTCTTTGCTAGAAAAAGTGTGTGGTATGCCCACCATTAGAATATACCTCTCTGCATCCACTCACTTCTAATGTTGGGCATACATGTACATTTCTTTTACAGAACCTAAGAACCTAAGAAATTCCTCCATTCACATCAAGAGCCTAAGAGATTCCTCCATTCACATCGATCAATGTAGATGAAGAAATTTCTGCCAGAAAAAATTATAAATATATGCCGAAGCATAGGGGCAATCCTTCCACTGACCACTACAGGCCCCCATGCTTGGGTATATATGTTTCTTTTTTTTACTGTAGATGAAAAATCTCATCCAGCAGCGCTGCACGCACTGATATATATTCTGAGAACAAGACCCTGTTGGTGTCAGAATAAACAGATCGGTGCTGCAGCTGAATGGTGTTTCTGCAAAGCAAACAACAATGGTTAACAATAAAACACAATACTAATAGAACATTAACTCAGTAAAACAACTGAATGGTGTTCCTGCAAAGCAACGTTTTTTTTTTATTTATTTTAATTTACTTTTTTTATGGGGGGTTTTTTGTAACTTTTAAGATCAGCCTCTGATTTTATGGTCTCTCAAAATGCGATAGACAGTTTACTGACAAACATCTTTCGAGACCCTGTGTCACGTACCTGATTGGAGACTAAAATGACGAGGTCGGCCTCACTTGTGTCACTAGCCCCTGACCCCACTGGAAGTGGAACAGAGGGTGTCTAGGGACCAAGGGGACAAGAGCGCCAGCAGATGTTATTTGCAGCTCTTGCAGTTGGAGACTTTGGAAGACTGATGAACCTCCGTTTCAGGCACAGTAGTAATATGCAGAGCTGGTATGGTAGATCGCCAGGTGTGCACCAGAGTAAGGCAGGAAGCAGGGATGGGAGACAGGAGCGGTGTCAAAGGAATAGCCAGGGTCATCAATGGGCAGACAGCGAGGTACCAAATCATAAGCAAGCCAAAGTCAGCAGCAGAGCCGAAGTTTGGAACCAGTATCAAGCAGGAGAATAATCAGAGTCAGGTCAGGAATAAGCCGGGTCAGCAACAAGGAAATCACACAGGAAACAAGCAGGAAACTGGGAACAGCTGAAGACCAGTCAGCACTCAGCACAGGCACCTTTTAAATAGTCCGTCTGGCGCCAATCTTCATCGCGCGTGATCGTGCATTTCTGTGCACATGCGCATGTCTATTCACCAGCCGTCTCACGGGAATTCCCTTACACCCTGTGTGAGAATGGTGAATATGTGCTGTAGACTGTGCCGTGCTGTACCCTATACTAATACTCCACTAGTGTGTGGTAGTGATGGAAGCAGTCCTTGAGGCAGAGACCAGGTTGCCCAGGACAGGAGGGACAAAAAAAGCAGGTGTCAAGTCCTAATCCGTGTCTGCTACAGACACAACATTTTCTATGTGGTGACCTATGGGTTGGGGTACCAGAGAGGACATAATGAACATGCATCTCACGCAACCGGCTCACTGCGTCTGGATTTGGGAATTGGGCCATAGCACCTTCTGGATACAAAAAAGACCGTGATGATTTCTTCCTGAAATTTTAGGAAGGAACCACTTCACCCAGGTGCTTTATAGACACCTTTTTGTACCAATCTCAAACTTTGTGGGAAGCTAAATACGGATTCATCATTTGGTCGTTGAAGCCCACCCCTCCCATGTTAAGTTTATAGTCGTGGATACAGAGGAGTTTCTCAGCAATGCCAAAAATGTATCCGTTATCTTTTTAGTAAAAAAACAAAAAAAACAAATTAGTTTAAACCAAAAATTATAATTTTTAAACATTTTCTTTTACATTTTTATTTTATTTTTTTATATTATTATTTTTTATTTATTTTTATTTTTTTACATACTGTAACCCTAGCAGTACAGTGTCACCTTGGTGACACTGTACTACTTGGGGTTGATGAAGATTTTTTTTTTTTTTTTTTTACAATGATTGCTTTTACACCCATATAGGATGTAAAAGCAATCATTTCTCTTTCTCTCTGTGTGCATTCCTGCACTCATTGAGAAGTACTGAGTGAGCTGTGATTGGTCACAGCTTGTCACATGGTACAAGGCTGTTGTGAATAGCCTTGTACCATGTGACCTCTGTGATCATTCACAGATTTCACACGTAGTAAGCAGTGATGTCACAAGTGACATCTTGCTTACTACTTTGCATGTGATTACTGATTGGCCAATCAGTGATCACATGATCGGGACCTCGTACAGAGGTCCCGTCCGACGATCGGTTGTTTCAGTGTGTCCGGAGGACACAGCGGGCACCGGATCGCGGTGCTGCACGCTCCCAGGAAGTGCGCACAAGCAGGGTGCGGGGAGGCCGTTCATAAACGGCCACCCGACCCTGTACTGCCACCGTCCGGCCGTTTATATGCAACGGCCGGTCGGTAAGTGGTTAATATAAAAATAAGACAAGAGTCTATGCAAGTCCAACAGCGGAAATTGTAGCCAAAACCTGGGTCTAGAGCCAGGAAGAATCGTCGCCAGAGCCGGGATCAGGAGCCAGGAAGAATGGTCGTCAGAGCCAGGGTCAGAAGCCAGGAGGAGTCTTAGCCAAAGCCGAGTCGGTATCCAGGAAAGCAATGAGTAGCTAAACAGGAGCTTGCTGTTGTGCAACAGACAGGATACGAAT